GGTTCTGAATCTGTCCCCATGCCTTATTCATCCAGAGTGACTGAACTCCGGGCTTCCTTCCACAACAGCAGGAGGCTCGGTGCCTTCCCTCCTGGGGCCGACATTCTCCTGGGGGTGCAGTTGAACCCAAGGAACTAGATAAGCCCCAAATGACGGATCGTGGTAAGTGGTGGGGACAAAAAAACAGGGTTTAGAGAGAGACAAAGGAAGGGACCTAGCTTAGCTGTGTGCTCTCGGAGGGTTTTCCTCCCTGGATGACATCTGGATTAAAACCTCAAAGGGAAGAAGGAGCTGAGGAGTAGCGTTCCAGGCGGAGGAAACAGCAGGTGCAAAGGCCTTGGGGCAGGACTGAGCTTGGCCTGGACGAGGGCAGAGGGGCAGGACATGAGGTCGGAACAGGGAAAGCCGGGCCTTGTATGGCCTTAAACAACACGGGAAAGGGTTTGGAGCTAATTCTGTGTGTGACGAGAAGCCACTGATGAGCCTGGGGCGGAAGCGAGAGGACTGGATTTGGATTTGGGAGGTTGTATGTGTTGACGGGGAGTGAGGAGCCAGGCCTGTGGCCGTGAGAGACCTTAGGGACCTGAAGAGGGCAGGGGCCATGGAGACAGTGGCAGAGGGACTGACAAGTGCTGGGATGGGGACCGACAGGACACGCAGACGGATCGGGGCGAGGGAGCGACGGGGCCACGGGCGGCTTCCCAGTCCTATTCCAGATGGCAGAGAGGATGCAGGCATCACTATGAGACTGGAGGAGGGAAACAGGAAGGCAGGCCCAGGGGTATCCAGGGGCAGGGCTGAGGACGCGGAACATCCAAGAAGCCGTAGAGAGATGTTTAGCTGGATGCACGACACTGGCGCCCAGAGGTCGGCCGTACACTCGGCAGCCGTTGGCACAGAGAGGGCGTGGAAATCTGTGGGAATGAGGCCGACGCGGTGGCTGATGCCTGTCATCCCAGCACTTTGGGAAGCCAAGGCGGATGGATCGCTTGAGGTCAGGAGTTTGAGACCAGCCTGCCCAACATGGTAAAACCCCGTCTCTACTAAAAATACAAAAATTAGCCGGGTGTAGTGGACGGTGCCTGTAGTCCTAGCTACTTGGGAGGCTGAGGCAGGAGAATCACTTGAACTGGGGAGGCAGACATTGCAGTGAGCTGAGGCTGAGATCACGCCACTGCACTCCAGCCTGGGTGACTCCATCTGAAAAAAAAAAAAAAAAAGGTTTCCAGCCGGGCGCGGTGGCTCACGCCTGTAATCCCAGCACTTTGGGAGGCTGAGGCGGGTGGGTCACGAGGTCAAGAGATCGAGATCATCCTGGCCAACGTGGTGAAACCCACCTCTACTAAAAATACAAAAATTAGCTGGGTGTGGTGGAGGGTGCTTGTAACCTTAGCCACTCAGAAGGCTGAGGCACATGAATTGCTTGAACCCGGGAGGCGGAGGTCGAAGTGAGCCAAGATCCTGCCACTGCACTCCAGCCTGGGTGACAGAGTGAGACACAGTCTCACTACTTGGCCATCCAGTGAGTTTCTCTCTCTCTTTCTCTCTTTCCGTGTGTGTGAAAGTAAGTATGTTAAGAAGGTAAAAGAATTAAAGAATGGGCCGGGCGCGGTGGCTCAAGCCTGTAATCCCAGCACTTTGGGAGGCCGAGGCGGGTGGATCACGAGGTCAAGAGATCGAGACCATCCTGGTCAACATGGTGAAACC